TCTTACCTTAGTATGACCTTGTGTTAACTGATAACATCTTCAAAGACCCTGGATCCAAACAAGGTCCCATTCACAGGCACAGGGGTTAGGACTTGAATGTAAATTTGGGGGTTGGGAGGCACAATTCAGCCCATAACAATGGGTCTCCATGTGGGAAAAAACAAAACAATAACTAATCCTTTCCTTACATCACACATGAAATCATTCCCAAGGAAATTAAAGGCCTAAATGTAAGAAACAATGCTATAAAAGAATTTAAAAGATAAAATAGAAAAATATCTTCATTGTGTCCAGGTACAGAGGGATTTCTTAAGACACTGTAAGTACTAAACATAAAGAGATTGATTGATTTAACTAATTAAAATCAAGAACTTCTACTCATGGAAAAAATGAATGAACATAAGACTCAGCTGAATCCTGCCACGCATACAATCCTTTATTATCAAGCAGGCTTATGAACAGCCACTTCAGTTGTTTCATAAGCTCATTGAAATACCAGCTGTGTGTCTGACACCACTTTGCATGAAAGGTCCTTGAGGCAGATGCAGTAATATTCTAGTGTAGGATTCAACTAATTCTAACCATGGTATTGAAAATAAAATCTTCAAGGAGAGGCTGGACACAGGACCGAAGGAGAATCCTAAGCCCAGGCCACCATTGTGAAGGGTGTACAATATTGGGCTCACCAGGTTACATTCATGCAAGGGCCACAGTGCCTGAGAATATTTCTAGAATACCCCTCAGTTCGCCAGTAAAAAAAAAACATTTCTAACAACTGTTACACTGATGAATAAGGGTTGTAGTGTTGTTCGGAGATGAAGATGGCTGAAACCCCTCAGTAGCCTTTTCTGAAGTGAGGACTTCTGATTAGAGTCTTTCACTTGCTGAAGTGGTCATTCCCAATAAGGGCACTTCAGTTATTAAGTAACAACTGCTGGAGTGTAGCTTAAATCTAACACAAACACACTCGTGTTGTGTCCGTGCTGTACTGTTTTAAAGTAAATTATAGGCAACGTAACTGCAGTGTTTACCAGGCTCCGGTCACTTGAGACCTCCCTTCAAGATTTTTGCTATATACACCACCTGTATCATCATTATTAATATTTTTATTTAAATTAACTCACATAAACTTCTTGGATGGCACAGGACTGGGCAGTATTTCGTTCTGTTGTACATAGGGTCACTATGAGTTGGAATCAACTGGACGGCACCTAACAATAACAACAACTTAAACGTCTTAAATAAATATATTTGGAGACTTGATATCACAACCATAATATAAAACTAGTATCACGTGCCATAAAAGAAAACAAGAGTAAGAATGAAAACAACAAAAATAAGTGTTTAAATGTAGATGCTGTTGCCTGGCCCAGGCTCTGCTCTCAGGTGGAATTAGGAAGCATTAACAGCAGTGTTAGATACATACCAGCACCTGACTGGGGTGTTCTTTTTGAAGTTAAAGGAGATTGAAAGAAAACTGAAGAACTGAAAAACTTTCTCACTAACAAGGCATTATTATTTAACACTGCAACTGGGTACCAGCTATCATCATCTTGCTGCCCCCTAAAATCACCTTTGGAAACTACCACATCAGAAGAAATGCAACCAGAATGTTCCTTAGAAGCAAGGATGGTGAGACTTGAACTTGCTCACTTTGGACACGTCATCAGGAAAGACAGTCCCTAGAAAAGGACATCATGTTGGGTGAAGTAGGGGGCCAGCGA